ATCTGTATGCATTATTTGCTGATATATCACACAGTCCTAGACACTTGGGAAGTGTCCGATACGTGATCGAGTACTAAAGCCAGCACAGTGATCTTGTTTGCTGTGTACTAATCTTATTGTGTATCAAATAATAATAAATATCTCTAATATTCTAGGTCTTTGGGAAGAGCCTGATATTTAGAGACAGATCCCAGACACTTGGACCTAATGTGCATGTGTGTTGTGTTATTATGTACATGTCAAATAAAATAATAATCTAAGTTCTTGAATTCTGTTTTTCAAGGACACTTACAATATGGTAGTATGTATTGTCAAAGGGTTTCATGGCCGGAATCACTGGGTTGTTGTAGGTTTTTTCGGGCTGTATGGCCATGGTCTAGAGGCATTCTCTCCTGACGTTTCGCCTGCATCTATGGCAAGCATCCTCAAAAGTAGTGAGAATTTAGAGACAGAACTCCAAAGACTCTGGCACAAGCCAATAAAGGTGGTCCCAGTGGTGATCGGCACACTGGGTGCAGTGCCAATATGATAGTATACTTTTCTATACTACCAAAACAGAGTGGTAATATTCCTTGGTGGAGGGATGTGGAGAGATTCTATGCTTCCATATAGTATGTTTATTTGAAAATTAGCTTCAAAAATCTTTCCAAATTCTATTTAGATGTTGCTGATCTGTAGAAATTATTTTACCTATATTTCTCCAGATCAGTGGTATTTGAATTAATCCATAAAAACAGTATTGGTCTACCCGGTAGCTATGTATTCTGGTTCCCCAGTTCAGACTAGTTCCTAAAGATGGAATCAAGCATTCGGTTTATTCAGACTAATTGAGTTTGCCTTGATACAGCAATGTTAGAAAGCATTGGTCTGATTCTCCAGTGCATACTGTAAATTGTTCTGAATTTCCCAGCGGAACTTTTCTTGAAATCCAAGAGATGGATGCTGTCGTATTATGTATGACTAATGAAAATGGAACTGCTTTTATTTTTACCATTTCTTTCAGTGCTGGTTTTAAGGAGGATGATTACATTTCTGCAGGTTATTAGATAAGAGCTAAATACATTACACTTTCAACAAACTATCTCACATTTAAGATTTAAAGGTCATGCATTTGTTTAAACAGTCAAGCCACTGCAAGAGAGTTGAATTGTAGGTCACATTTCATTTTGACGAGCTTTCTTGGAGATGTCCTTATGATTCATTCTGGAACCAGCATAAGATAACATTTGAGAGATATGCTGCTTTTTAAAAATGTGGATTACAACATTACTCAACAACACTCATCAAACCTGTTTCCCATTATGATGTCATCCTGAATAGCATTATAAGAATAAAACTCTCTTTAATTTCCCTCAGTTAAATTAGTATGATTTTTTTTATTCTGCAGCAGTTCATTTTGTTCCTTTTCAGAGACAATCTAATAATTGGGAAGCTGCTGAAATGTTCATAAGTAGTAAATTGTTAACAGCTATGCAGACTGGTTTTTTGTTTTGTTTTTTTGCAGATTGCCTGCCCTTTAAATGATTATTAAAATGTCTCATTGTCGAATGAATAATCTCTTTGATGCCAACGGGGAGAAATTTTGAAATGCTTCTTGCACCTCTTTGGTGCTTGAGATATGTCTTCCGTATAAAATTAAAGACGTTAAAGTGTTCTTCCACTCCTGTTGGACAAGATATCTCAACCTAGCAACCTAACATTTCTACAGAATTTTTTTTAATAATAATAATAATAATAATAATAATAATAATAATAATAATGGCTTTCATGGTTGGAATCACTGGGTTGTTGTAGGATTTTTCGGGCTATATGGCCATGTTCTAGAGGCATTCTCCCTGACATTTCACCTGCATCTATGGCAAGCATCCTCAGAGGTTGTGAGGTCTCACAACCTCTGAGGATGCTTGCCATAGATGCAGGTGAAACGTCAGGGGAGAATGCCTCTAGAACAGCGGTTCTCAACCTGGGGGTCGCAACCCCCAGGTGGGTCATTTGGCYATTTTGGAGGGGCTGCGAGGCTGCCTCGTTAGGCCCCGCCCCCCAATGCCRCGACCCAGCCGAGGGCTTGCATTGCGCGAAGCTTYCCCCGGCTGGACCACRGTCCTGCCTTCCGGCTAGGCCACGACCCAGCCGAGGGCTCGCGTTGTGTGAGGGTTCCCTCGGCTGGGCCGTGGTCCCGCCTTCCGGTGAGGCCGCAACCCAGCTGAGGGCTCGCGTCACGTGAAGCCCATTCTTTGGTGCCTGGTAAACTATAAATCCACACAACTGCATTCCCAAATACCAGGGTCTATTTTTCCCAAACCCCTCCAGTATTTTCTGTTGGTCATGGAAGTCCTGTATGCCAAGTTTGGTTCAATTCTATTGTTGGTGGAGCTCAGAATGCTCTTTGTTGCCTGGTGAACTATAAATCCACACAACTGCATCCCCAAATGTCAGGGTCTATTTTCCCCAAACTCCACCAGTGTTCAAATTTTGGGTGTATTGAGTATGTGTGCCAAGTTTGAACCAGATCCATAGTCCTTTGGGTTCACAGTATTCTCCGGATGTAGGTGAACTACATCTCCCCTAAATTACTGTCAATTCCTCCCAACCCTCTTCAGTATTTTCTCTTCATCATGGGAGTTCTGTGTGCCAAATTTGGTCCAGGTCTGTAATTTGTGGGAGTCTCATTGGGCTGTGGAAGTCAGTTGATGATAATTCAAATCCCTTCATCCATTGTCCATACTCCCCCAAACATATTGTTTTTATCATTAATCACTATGCTTTAATTATGTTCAATTTGTAACAATGGAAATACATCCTACATATTAGATATTTACATTACAATTCATAACAGTACAGTTATGACGTAGCAACAAAAATATGGTTGGGGGTCACCACAACATGAGGAACTGTATTTAGGGGTCACGGCATTAGAAAGGTTGAGAACCACAGCTCTAGAACATGGCCATATAGCCCGAAAAAACCGACAACAACCCAATAATAATACTTTATTTATATTTATACCTTGCCACCATCTCCCCAAGGGGATTCGGGCGGCTTACGTGAAGCCAATCCCAGCAATACAACAATGCAAATATACGCATAAGAACACAACAATAAAAATAAGGAAATAAAATAAACAGTATAAATAAACACATCAGAACAATATAAAATCACAATATTTGAACAGAAAGTTTATCTCAGTGGGCAGGGCCAGTTGCAGAGATTAAAAGTTTAAAAACACTGGGTGAGAGAGCAATGTAATGTATCTGGACAGAGGATCCGAGGGACGAAGTAGGGTTTAATTGCACTAACAGTTTAATTGCACTAACATTTCTGTCTATTTTGGTTGCATTAACTTTATTTTATTTATTTTTCTTAGAGAGATGTTGGACACTAGTTCATACCTGGATTTAGTTGTTCGCCTGCTGTTGTTGTTGTTAATTTATGCCCCGCTTTTTCTTTCCACAAAGGAGACTCAAAGCAGCCAATTCACCCCTAATTCACCACTAATTCAAAACCCAACAATGGATAATTCTTACGCTTATCCTTACAAAATCCCTAACCCATGCATTGTTGGGTATCTAATTCACTGACACACCACCGATACACCATTAATACACCTCTAATAGAGCAATACACCCCTAATACACCACCGATACACTGCCATTACAAAATCAATACATCACTAATAACTCCTCTATTCCACTAATACACACCTTACACCACCAGTATACCTAATACACCAATCCACAACAAATACATCACTTATATACACCTCAATACACCACTAAGACATCTTGAATACACTGGTAATATATCTCTAATATACCACTAATACACTTCTAATACAACAATATACCCCTAATACACTACCAATACACTACCAATACAAAATCAATGCACCACTAATAACACCAATACACTCCTAATACACCACCAATACACCTCTAATACATCAATACATCACTAATATACATGTAAATACACTACTAATACATTGTTTTGATTGAGTTTTAATGCTGCTGTTTTATTCTCTTATGTTTTATTGAATTGTGCTTTTATCTCGATCGTTATATTTAACCAGGTTTTTATTTTAATCGTGTTTTTGCTTGGATGGACTGTTCTATATTTGTGTCTGTGGGCATTTTGTCCCATATGTACACTGCCCCGAGTCCCTTCGGGGATGTGTTGGGGTATAATAATAAAGTTATTATTATTATTATTATCATCATCATCATCATCATCATCATCTCCAATACACTGATAATATATCTCTAATATATCACTAATACACCCCTCATTCAGCACTAATTCAGCATCCTATTTCACCCCTAATTCAATACCTCTAATTTGCCTCTAATTCTCTGTTTGTTCTTATGCTTATTCTTAGAAAATCCATAACCCGGGCAGTATTGGGTACCTAAGCTAGTGTTATATAAAGTACACTCACTGAAGGGAGGGAGATACATATCTTATAAGGAGCCATCAAGAAGGTTCTTTCTACTGTCTTCTTCAGACAATCCTTGAGGATGGTGGGATGAAGAGAAAGTCCTCCCCTGGAGATTCAGGCACTAATTCAGGCTTTCAAAAAGTCTGGACCTAAATTGAATATGCTTTGACCAGCCCTTTGAATTGTGCCTGGAAATGTAATGGCAACCAGTGAAACGGTTTTAACAAAGGAGTTATATACTTGTTATTATTAGTCTTGATTAGCAATCCAGCTGCAAAATTTTGGACCTGCTGAAGTTTCTGAACAGTCATTTAGAGAGCAGTACAGTAACCCAAATGGGATGCAGTCAAGGCATGTAATCAGCAAGCTCTAGTTCCAGAGCCTTGAAGCTAATGGTGGTGATCAAACTTTATTACACTCCTAGCAGGAAGGAAGCAATACAAATTGCCAATCTCCTTCTGGGATATTAATTTTGCAGGAACTCATTGGGAGTCTTTGTATATATGAACTGATTTGAGTCTCACATTACAAGATGTATGACTTTCTCATATTCTCTATTTTCCAGATAACCAAGCTGAAAATTGATAGCAACCCTTTTGCTAAAGGATTCAGGGACTCTTCCAGACTCACTGATATAGAGAGGTAATGAGATCCTGTTGTTTACTTTTTCTTGTGATAAGATAATAAGGAATTGGCATGGAAAGTATTCTTTTACCCCTCATGTAGCTGCAGCTTTGACAGTTATGTGGTATCCAAGAGGCCTCAAGTTCTTTATAAACAGTTTGGAGCTAGAACTACTTAAGAATATTTAATGATTCCAGGTGACTAATTATGCTCATCTTTCTCCTCTAGTTTTTGGTTCTTTTGAAGCTTTCAGATCTGCATGCAACATTTTGAAGGAAATCAATGACATCATGGTTTCCATGTTTTTATTTTATTTTCACCATTTTTATGCCATGGTTGTCCACCCCTATCTCTTCCTCCCACTTCTGGAAGAAAGAGCAGCTGATTCAAATACTCAGTGAAGTCAAGAAGGAGACCCCTCAGTAGACTCTGTGATCTTGGAATGTGTTGATATATCTTTTGTCTGAAATTTGTGATAAGTTAGAACCCTCAAACTTTTTAAACAGAGGGCCAGGTCTAGTCTCTCAAACTATTGGAGGGCCAGATTATAATTTGAAAAAAACACGAATGAATTCCTATGCACACTGCACATTTCTTATTTGTACTGCAAAAAAAACCCCATTAAAAACAATACAGTAATTAAAATGAAGAACAATTTTAACAAATATAAATGTATTAGTATTTCAATGGGAAGTGTGGGCCTGCTTTTGGTTGATGAGATAGGATTGTTGCTGTTGTAGTGTGCTTTCAAGTCGTTTCAGACTTAGGTTGACCCTGAGCGAGGGCCGGGTAAATGACCTTGGAGGGCTGCATCTGGCCCTCGGGGCTTAGTTTGAGGATCCCTTTGTTAGAATGAGGAGAGGGTGTATGTGGCTTATACATGTGGGCCTCCAAGTCTTTGTTCCAACTCGTAATAGGCGATCCCTTGTTGCTATGATTGTCTTCTAAATGTAGGGTCTTGATGGTGGGTCCGTAGGTCACAGTAGAGACCTATTACTGATCTCCATGTTCTTTTGCATTGCGGGCATTGATTCCAATGGAAGATGGTCCCAAGAAGGATGTTGGCTTGACTTGTTTTCCTCTTGACACATTTCCACATTTCTTCTTTTTGCCCTCTGTTCATGCCTCTTCAAATTTTGCAACACTGTTGGTAACAGCTGACCTCTAGTTAGAAATGGGGCCACAAGGTGGAATCCACCACATGCGAGTGTGGAGAAGAGCAAACCACAGACCACCTACTGCAATGCATCCTGAGCCCTGCCACATGCACAATGGTGGACATTCTTACAGCAACACCAGAGGCACTCCAAGTGGCCAGCTACTGGTCAAAGGACATTTAATAGACTACCAAGCCGGCAAACTTTGTGTTTTGTTTGTTTGTTTGTTTGTTTTTTAATGCAATACAACTGTTTTGGTTCACTCCTGACACGATAAATAAATTGGTTGATTGTGGGCAGCTATAATTCTCTGTAGAGATTCTGAAGTTTAGAAAATCTAATTATTTTTCCTACAGTAAAAAAAGACTTTTACTATAAATGTGTCATCCTGGGAAATATGAGATGGTTAAAAAGTCTTTTTAGTGCATATTTTATATGCATGAAAAGCCTGCAATATGAGTCATTTCATAGAATAGTGGAGCTTGAAAACAAACTCACAAAGATAATAGGGTCTCAAATGCAAATAATAATAATAATAATAATAATAATAATAATAATAATAATAATATTCCATTTTCTGTACATGCCTCGCTGCATATTGTTTGCACTTTCTTGAAAGGTGGATATTTGATTAGCCTTTGCAACCAGATAATCTGATTTATGAATATACTTCCTAAAGGAAGACACAATTTTGTGTATGAATAGTTTGCAACATTTATATGGCCATCCATCCTTTGTAAAAAATGCAAGCAGGCTCTTTTTCATCACTAGCTGTGAGTCTTTGGAGTGACCTAAATAGTGAGAATGTGGGACAAAGCTTTGGATTTAATTTTCAGATATTTAAGTCTCCTTTTTTCCCTAACTAGCCTTTAGGGAGGGAAACAAATCAGATCAATTGATCTTTAGAGACCTAAGGAAATTCAATTAGGCTGGAGTCAGTAACTGCACTAAACCACCTGGTAATTGGATTGCTCCTTGTAACTGATTGAAATGGCATCTATCTGCAACCAAATAGGCTGGGCTTCCTTACAGTATAACTGAGAGAAAAACACATCTTTTTATGACATGATGACAGACATTGCACTTTCCCACCCTAATTGGATATGTTTTTTATGAATACATGACTTGAACAATTTTGAACTTCCTATTTCAGATTTACGGTCGCTATCAGGACCTAACATGATCTAAGGCTCAAATGCAAAGTTTGTGAACCCAGGCTCCATCTACACTACTATATAATGTGGTTTCATGATGCAGTTTAACTGCTTGAATTGCATTATATGGCAGTGTGGACTTATATAATGCACTTCAATGCAGTTAAACTGCATTATGAAACCACATTATTTGGCAGTATAGATGGGGCATTAAGTACATTAAGTAATAATGAAACTTCTTCTGAATATGTATCGGGTGCTTTTCCTCCATCACTGACTAACTTGTAACTTGCATATGAACATTTTGACTTTATGGACCATTTCAGAAGACATGGCCTCCATTAAGGAGCTAGCCCATGTGAGGAAGCCGTGTAATTATCAATATCAACTTAGGAGCTGGATGTCAAGGGACCACTAATTAAGGGGGGTTTACTTATTTGATAGCGTAGCTTACGTTTAATAACCCTAATTTGGTCACCGAATTAGGCTGAAAAATGTGGTATAGAAATAAAGCAAAATAAAATAAATAAAATAAATTCTTCTTCTTGTGCAGGGCTGTTTGACTTAGAAGAAATTGTATCAGAGGCAAGGCTTGAGAAAAACAGAAACAAGTTTATTGGACTATAACAGGAGTAGAATAGATTTAATGTTACTTCACTCTAGAGGCACAAACTTAGCTGGTTACATTTATAGAGGTTCTTGGATGACTCTAGGCACTAAACAGATTTCAAAAGGTTTCTTTAGGCAGACGTTTCTTTCTTTAACAACCATTCTGGTAATACAAATAAGCCACTTGACTTATTTAACTGTATTGGCTCCAAGCCAAATCTTGATTCTTAATCAAAGAATCAGTCCTCCCTGTGGTTCTATCACTACAGGATTTCTACTTCCACACAGGATCAACTATCTCTATAGTTCACAACTACAGATCAGTTCCTTGATCCTCTCACTGGGGAATCCTCCCCTGTAACCCTCTGGTTGCAGACTGCTGATTCACAGATCAGTCCTCTTCTGTAACTCTCCGGCTACAGACTACTGATTCACAGATCAGTCCTCTTCTGTAACTCTCCAGCTACAGACTACTGATTCACAGATCAGTCCTCTTCTGTAACTCTCTGGCTACAGACTGACAACTTTCAAAAAGCTGCGCTGCCAAGTGGCAGTTGGTAGTTGGCTCCGCCCCCCGTTGCTATGGCAACTCAGCTTAAGCCAAACCAAGCCAGTTACCATCCCTAATAAAATACAATTCTACATGCTTACCATTACTAACTATTGTCTAAACAATGCATGACTATAGGAATAAAAATACACATCATCACAGCCCAGTATCTCTGGCCATTCACATCAGAAGCTTTATGCACTATATTTTGTAGCCATTTCCAACCTAATGTCTGTTGTGCAGAGTGGGCTTTAGCCAAGTCCCCTGCAAAAGACACACAAACAAGAGGAAAAAGGAACAAAAAAACTTTACTCTTATCCGCAGAGACATAAACTTGCAGTATTGCATACAAAATCAAACAGTGCAACAAACTTACATAGTCCTTGTAAGTAACACAGAATAAGGCTTCTTCATCATCATTCAAATGAGAGAGCAAAACATAAACCTTGAGTAAATAGCTATTCCACCATAGCAAAGAGCATCGCTGTTAGAGCATAGCAGCATTACAGCACATTGCTTCTCCAAACTGTATTCTAAAATCCATACAGTTATACCCCACCGGGTGTGGCCCAAACATGCTGGCTGACCTACATTACCAGCTGTACGTAATAATTAACATTATAAGGGTTTTTTAAACACACATTTGATCCTGCTACGACTTACTGTAACAATGTATCCAAGATGTGTTGTGGGTCATGGTGGCTGATGGTGATGGGAAATATCAACTTGCACACCTGGAAGATACTAGGAGGGGAATGGTAAACAAACACAACTATCATATGGCCTAAAAATTCAGAAATGCCAATCTTTCTATTTTTTTTCCATGTCAGGAGTGACTTCAGAAACTGCAAGTCACTTCTGGTATGAGATAATTGGCTGTCTGCAAGGATGTTGCCCAGGGGATGCCCTGATGTTTTACCATCCTGTGGGAGGCTTCTCTCGTGTCCCTGCATGGGAAGCTGAAGCTGACAGATGGGGGCTCAATCCACTCTCTGGATTCGAACTGCCGACCTTTCGGTCATTAGTCCAGCTGGCACAAGAGTTTTAACCTATTGTGCCACTTGGGGCTCCCAGTTATAGATTGCTAGCCTCACACATCAGTATTTAACATACAAAAAATAGCTCTACCACTTTATACTAGTTTTATTTGGGGGGAAATGGAAGTAGTATTTTTATTTTTATTTGGAAAGAAAATATTAGATTAAATAAGTGGAATATGTGCAATCTAAGGAAGTTGTTTCATTAAAAACCTTCGAGACCTGATGATACTTAAAAAAAAACCTCATTTTAGACTCAAACAACAAATTCTTGTGGAAATGTAAGTTTTGCTTGTTCATAACTACACGCTCAATGTTAGAATAACCTGATCTCTTAATCAGGGACACTACAAAACATTTTGCTGCTTGTACTAGGGCAACAAATGGCACACATACTCCTATTCAGATCATCATGTCCAAAGCCAACAAAGTTATTTTTTCCATTGGAGGAAGAAAATCCCTTAAATACCTCTTCTTTACCTTCTACTTTCTTTTCTTTCTACTGAATGCT